GGACAGGTGTGAACTAGAGATTTGATTTTTTAAAGCTTTGAATATGAGTCAGATGATGATCCAAAGTGACACCAAATGTCCTGTCTTAAAACCAAGTGATACCATCTCACCAGTACCCCTACCTGACAGTCATAGAATCAGAGAATCATAGAGTTGGAAGAGACCTCATGGTCCATCCAATCCAACCCCCGACAGATGGCCATCCAGCCTCTGCTTCAAAGCTTCCAAAGAAGGAGAGTTCCACTGCTGAACAGCTCTCACAGTCAGGAAGTTCTTCCTAATGTTCAGATAGAATCTCCTTTCTTGTAGTTTGAAGCCATTGTTCCACATCCTAGTCTCCAAGGCAGCAGAAAACAAGTTTGAGTTTGTTCCCTCCTCCCTATTACTTCCTCACATATTTATACATGGCTATCATGTCTCCTCTCAGCCTTCTCTTCTTCGGGCTAAACGTGCCCAGCTCTTTAAGCCTTGTTCTCCAGACCCGTGAGCATTTTAGTTGCCCTCCTCTGGACACATGTCTAACCAACAGAGCAAGCTTCCTAGATCACTTCTACTTGGGGTGGGCAATCCTGCCATCTTCCTGCCTGTGGTAGGGTAATTCCTATTACAAGCAGAGATACAACAGAATTATCAGCCAAGAAAAGGCTACTTGTGGCAACTGGGGAATGAGTTATGCTGTTTGCCTCCTTCCTAATTAGGAAGGGAAGCAGGCAACAAGTCAGTGGGAGAGAGATGCTTGTTGTAGCAGAAGCATCTATTTTGTAATCTCATTAGCAAGACCTGAATCACTGAAAGATGACCACCTTCTGTATGAATCTCTGTCATTTCTGAAGCACTCATGATATATGTTCCTGCATCTAAAGATGCACAGGCAGTGGTCTTTTTCTTTAGTAGCATCCCAATTATGAAATCTCCTACTTCGGGCACTTATACCCCTCATGTGCTTTGGATAGGCACTAAAATGATTCTGTTCAATGAAGCTTTTAATGGCTTCACTGCGGCTCCCAATTTGATTAAACTGTATGTGTTTGCTCCTGTATTTATTTGTTTTCATAGTGTGAGAGCTTTTGCTTGAAACAATATTCCACTTAGTTATATAAATGCCTGAAGCATCTGTATCTGTGAGTTTATTTGTAAGTACAGTCAGCACTCTGTATTCATGGATTCAACCATCCATTGATTGAAAACATTTCTCCCCCAAATTCTTGATTTTTCCCTCTTTAAAGACACCATACTTTATAATGGGACTTGGGGGTATCCATGGGGCTATTAAAAAAACCCCAAAGACCCACTGTACATCTAAACATTTAAAAAAAAACACAACATGAGCTTTTCTGTGATTAGCACCTTAATTTTGGAACTCCACCCGCAGGCTACGTTATTCCATCTTTACTTAATTTTAGGCTGATGGTTAAATATATATTTTTAGAATTTTTAAAAAGTAGAATTCACTCCACTTTGTATTTTGGGAGGGGGGTTTCATGTCAGGAGGTTGTTCCCAATCTTAATTGTCTTATACTAAAGGTAAAGGTTTCCCCTTGACATTAGGTCTAGTTGAGTCCAACTCTGGGTGGTGGTGCTCATCTCCATTTCTAAGTCAAAATGGAGATGGTGTTGTATTTAGATGCCTCCTAGGTCATGTAGCCAGCATGACTGCATGGAGTGCCGTTACCTTCCCACTGAAGCGGTACCTATTGATCTACTCACATTTGCATGTTTTCAAACTGCTAGGTTGGCGGAAGCTGAGACTAACAATGGGAGCTCACCCTGTTCCACGGATTCAAACCACTGGCCTTCCGTTCAGCAAGTTCTGCAGCTTAGCAGTTTAACCCAATATTATTTTAAAACACAGTATTTAAATTATATGTTGTCCAGGGCTGAAGAACCCTTTAAAAAGCAATCCTAAATAACTACATGAATGTACAGTAAATATGTGTGTACATTAAAGAAAAAAAATACAATTTGTGTTTAAGATATAACGTGATATTTCTAATTTCCAGTGTCTCCACCTTTGGATTCTAGTCATGTATATTTTGAGCAATAAAGTTCATGTTTTGTTTATTTCGTCACTATAGCCCAATGGTTCTCAACCTGTGGTCCGTCGACAACCAGTGGTCCCCAAGAATGAAAATATGGACGGTGACCTCATCATTACTACACCATTGCCTCAAAACTACAGGTCAACAAGAGCGACTGGTCTCACGAAACCCTCTTATAGTGCCGAGGCAACAGGGATGTTGGGAGGGGAGAGGCTGACTACCTACGAAAAATAACTACTACCACATCAGTTCTAGATTATTAAATATGGTTTTCTTTGGGTGAGCAGATGGCAACACTGGATGGCATATGTTGTATCAGAAACTAGAGCTGATGTGATCTATCCAATGCAATTTTCTGAATCAGTACCCCAGACAACCAAATTGAATCTTAAGTTGACCAAAAACTGATTCGTAACCCTTTTGGTACTAATATTGGAGAGTAGTCCCTGGCCAAAGTGGTCCCTGGTCAAAAAAAGATTGGGAACCACTGATATAGCCATTTAAAAAAAAAGGAAATTATAAAGCTTTCCCCCCTTCTTTCTTTTTAAACCTCTTATTCTGTCTGACACACCTCTGACCTTGTCAACAGATAAGAATACGAAGAAATGAAAAAAGCAATACGGAGAAATGAAAAAAGCAATACTGCAATTCATATAGGCCTATACTAAGAAACACTTTTATTACTTTACAAATACAGACCCGATGCTTCCCACCTCATTGCTTAGGACACTGTCTAAAAGGAAAGGAAGTGATCACAGATGAAATCATTCCTTCCCTACAGGCAGACAGATGGAGAGAAATCCCAGTCTGTTTCCAGTTTTTGTCTTCAGGGCATTTTTGGAATTTCCTTCAGGAAGTAAAAGGTTGCGACCTGAAAAACCTCTCTCCGTCAGGCAGCAGAGTTTCCCACCATAAGCGTTACTGAGTAATGACACACAGCCTAAGAAGGTGAGGGTTATCTCGGCAACCCAACTGCATCCTGTTAAGTTTTAGTAAAATTCCAGAGCATTACCTAAGGATTTGAGTATGGACGGAGGAAGGCAGGGGAAGGAAGAGCCAATGTATAGGAGATGCATAGAACAAAGCATTTGGAGAATTCTGAGTTATGAAAAATGATGTGTTTGTAATAAATGGAGTTTAGCTAATAATCTGTTTTGGATTGAATGCATCTTGATACATGTAAAGTGCACAGAAGTGTTTTGTGAAAGAAGAGAATAAAACAGAATGTGATTGCCAAGCTATATTTAAAGTAGCAACGTAATTCTACACATCCCCTCAGACGTCAATCCTGTTAAGTTCAGTGAGTTTACTTCTACGAAGGCGCAACCCAACCTATTCTGTGCCCTGAGTCAAACAGGAAAAAATCACCGCCCTTTCCTTCCACATACGGGAGCCAACTGCCTCGCTCTGCCTGATGGTAAGGCTGGCAATGGTCCACATTAAGCGGGCATCGATCCACATGGCAACTTTTTCATTCTGTGGGGAAGCAAAAAGCAATTTCCGTGTTTCCATGAAACAACCTGTGACAAATTCCTGATGAATTCTACTAAATTTGAGGGAAGGAAATCTGAAAAACCAGGATGTCAACTATATCAGTGTTTTCAAGTTATCTGATCTCGGGGACCAGAATTTTTCTCTAATGTGTAAGGGACTGTAAAATATTTATGCCCATTGACTACAACTGTTTACTTATTTCTTGGGAAATTGCCATGGACCAGCAGCTGGTCCATGGCAATGAGTTTCCATGATCAAGCAGGGATCCAAAGCCTGACCTCCGGAGTAGCAGTTCAATGTTCAGGCCACTATACTACCATTTCTCATTTCTAAACACATTTTTTTGTTTTTAATAAGTAACCTAGGATTTTTCACGTGATACAATTAAAGCACTTTGATTCCACATTATTTCCCATGGTTCTATCATATAGAATCCTAGGATTTGTAGTTTAACAATGTGTTTTTAATTCTCTGCCAGGAAGCTCTAATACTCCTTGCCTCATATAACCCAAGAATTCCATAGAGTGCAGCTGTAACAGTTAACATGGAATCATAAGGCTATAATTGTGTACTGTGAAAAAGGCCTCAGGTCTTTGCCTCCTTCCCTTTTCCCCATGTAATGTTGTTGGAAGAGTTGTGAAGACACACATCTTCCAGCAACATGTTTAGTTTTATGTTAAAACTCTAGTCACTGATCCCTTATTTCAGTCATAATCTAGTTACTTTAATGCAGTGATCCCCAAATACTGGACATCCGAGTATTTTGGACTTCCAGCAGCCTCGGCTATTTTGGCCAGTGGTCAGAGGTTCTGGGAGCTTAGGTCCAAAACAACTGGAAGAACACAGTTTGGGAATCACTACCAATGTTTCATCTTCTTGTTTGAATAGTGATTCATTGAATGAGTAACCAAACGTTAACTGTTCTTGCTAGGCTGTTTCAACTCTGTGTTACAACTCTTGATTGTTACACATAGCTTTGTTTCATTCATGAAGTGCAGAATATAGTCTGATTTCATTATTCACAGATGTGATACCCATGGTTTCACTCCGACTCCATAAAAAATATTCCACCCGGAAATGTTTGTGGGCCTCTCTCCTCCAATGTGATTCCATGGCAGTGGTTCTCAACCTGTGGGTCCCCAGATGTTTTGTCCTTCAACTCCCAGAAATCCTAACATCTAGACTGGAATTTATGGGAGTTGTAGGCCAAAACACCTGGGGACCCACAGGTTGAGAACCACTGTTCTATGGTATACTTCCCACCCAATTATGGTCAAAATGCAGGATTCACTGTTATCCACCTTTTCAGGTATCCATAAGGGATCATGTAGCACATCCTCCACAGAAACGAAGGTGAATTTTAACAACTCTGCAAGGAATATTGCAAATGCATTTACTGAATCATCTATGTAGCCTTTAAACTGTAAACAAAATAGTTTTTTAAAATGAAGACATTGTCATAGCAGATTTTGTACAAAACCCCCAGTTTATTAATATTTAGAGGTCACTATGTGCAAATAGTACAAAGTCAGAAACATTTTAAATACTATTTCTTTTTTTAAAAAAAATTGCACTGGAAATAATACTAAAAGGTCAGTCTTATAAAAAAAAGTATAAATTCAACCAACATTTGTACATTAATCCGATTTCAACAGTTTGGCATGTTATTGCCACAATTATGCTCTAAGTTACTAGGGGTCGGCTGAGGTGGGACATACTAATGAGAGGCACTATTGCCCTTTTCTATTCCTTAGCTCTGGAAACTTCTGTGTGAAAATGTGCTTTTCCAGTGAGTGGTGGCCGCTTCTCAAAGAAAAAGAAGTCTTCTGTGGGTAGAAGTCGTATACCAGAGGTGACTTCAGGAACATATATTTGGGGAGTTAGTTCTTTTGCATTGCGATTTCCAAATTCTCCAAAAAGGTATAGATCCAGAAGGCATGCTGCCATGCCCTCTGTCCAAGACAGCTTTTCCTAAATCCCCTATTCTTTCTATGGCAACTCACCTCTACTACACAATTGTCACAAACGTAACAATCTTGCAAAATGTAAAGGCCCTTACCAGGAAAAAAGACGAAAACAAAACCTTTCCACAAACTAATTTAAACTGGATCTCACAATGCAAGTTGGGATTATAAATGGGATTATAGGTTGGAGAAGGACAAAGAGTATCATTCTTGGTGCAAGACAGTTGCTATGCTTGTTAACATTTCCACACGCAGTACACATTCAACCCGATAAATATCGGGTTAGGAAAAATATATATGTACACACACTATAGTGATTGATGCCATAACAAATTACATTCAATTGATACAAAAATACCTTCAGTGGACAATGAAAAAACTATAAACACCTTCTCAAAATTACAAATATTCTGTCTTATCAAATACTCTGGAGTGTGGTGCAATACAATACAAACTATAGACTTCAGCCTGGAGGCCCCATCTCCCGATTTGGTTCCTCCCATTAAAAATTCCAAATGTCTGAGTGTCATCTCAGCCTACGATACTTCATAGGATTACAGTGAGACTAAGCAAACTGATGGTGACTTAAAGCACCTTGCATACCGAGGTGCTGCAAAAATTATTAATATCAATCGCAACTTCGATGATGTTTCAAGATTCAGATGACATTTCTATTAAAATTTTAACTGTCCCAACCTAACTCAAATCTGTTTTTGTCACGGGCCTTCAAATCTTATTGCATGATGGCAACCCAAAAGTAAATCTATCAGGGGGGTGCTTCTCAGCAAAAATTTGTTCAGAGACTAGCCTTTGCCGTCCCTTGAAAATGAGAATGTGGTCAACCACATCACCCAGAAGGTTTCCACAGCTAAGCAGAAATTTGAAACCTGGTCTCGAGTCATTGTCCAATGCTCAAACCACTACACTACCCTGGCTCTCTCAATTTAGACACAGCCCAACTAATTCAGGGAGAATTAACAAAAGGGAACCGTGTCAGGTTATTCTCCTCAGACTAACCCATTGAGATCTTTTGCAACCAATTCCAACTCTCAATAGAAGATTAAGCACCAAGGTATCTTTTGCAATCTTGACAGTTCTTGAGGCAACTACCCTCAAGTGCTATCTTCTATTTACCCAAACATTAGCATATAGTAAATTGGGAGGATTGTCATTTAAGATCTTTGTTTCAGGGATTCACATTTGTCATAGGAGGCAAAGAATGCTTGAAGATATTTTTCCTCGTCTCTCATCACACATTCAAACAACAGATGCTGGACTACTAAAGGTTCAGTTTCTCAGCGCTAAACATGGTATTCATGTTCCCATTAGCTGCAAAGCCAACTCACAAGCTTCCAGGGAGGACATTGTTTTTTCATATACCATAATCCAGTTTATATCATCAACTGACCCTTGGTGGGTGACATGTCCCCACTTCAGACCAATCTTTTCTCCCCTGGCTGTCCTCCTTCTGGCTGGAAACAAGTGAGCAGAGCTGTTCCCCCCGTGTGTCAGCCCTCAAAGGATCTGCCACCTCTTTTTTGCAAAAAAAAAAGAGAACTCCTAGGACGATGAAGTGACGTTACCCGAAGACACAATAGTTTCTGGAGAGTCACCCTCATCTTTCTGGGGATGAGAGGAATTGTCAGACCGACTTCGGCTGAACTCTATCCCTCCAATAATCGGTCTCTTGAATTTGATGCCAGTGTCCGTGGTGGGGCACTTGCAGCACCACATAATCTTGATGAAGGCCCTCCGCATCTCCTTGTTGGTTAGGGTGTAGATGATTGGATTGGTTGCCGAGTTGAGAACTGCCAATACTATGAAGTATTCAGTTTTGAGGAGGATTGGACAAGACCTCACTTCGCATCTCACATCCAGCAAGAGAAGGATGAACAAAGGAGACCAGCAGATGATGAATACGCTCAAAACAATGATCACCGTCTTCAGCAGAGCCAGAGATTTCTCTGAGCTCCGGGTGGCTTTGGCAGCATTCTTCCGGAAAGTCAGCCTGCGACTCCGTGTCCTTACCAAGATGTAGATTCTGCAGTAAAGAACCACAATGGACAACAAGAGGCCAGTGAACACGGTGGTACAGAAGAGGATGTAATGCTTGTGGTAGAGGGGCAGCACCGTGGAACATTTCTTTAGGCTGCCGATGCAGTTCCAGCCCATAATAGGAAGACCTCCTAAAATCACAGAGACAACCCAACAGGCACTGATGAGCAGGAAACAGCGGAAACTGTTGCTGCCATTGTGGAGTTTCATCTTCAGCATTGTAATGTATCTCTCAATGGCAATGGCCAAGAGGCTGAACACTGAAGCAGACAATGCCACAAACATGCTCCCCTCCCTAAGAAACCACTGGACAGGGGTGAGGGTATAGGTCTTGTGCCCAGACAGTAAGATATTGGCTGTGTAAGCCACCCCAGCCAACAAGTCAGAGAGTGCCAAGTTTCCAATGAAGTAATACATGGGTCTGTGGAACTTCTTGGTTTTCCAGATAGTCAACAGAACAAATATGTTCTCTAGGATGATGAAGCAACAAATGAGGATGAACACCACCGAAGAGACTTTGATCTCAGTATCAGCATTCTCATTTAGCTTCCCGGTGAAATTATAATGTTTGATGATGATGTCATAGTTGGCATAGTCACTGACACGAGGGGTGTCCTTCATGCGGGGACCCCTGGTAGTATCCATGGTTCCAGCCTGGATTGCAGTTCTCCAGAAAGATGCCAAGAGGCCACGTGGAGTAGAAATCTCCTCAGCTGCCTGGTCTGCGACGTCCAAATGTCTGCTGCTCCAACGTCTAGCACCTTCTGGGTACCATCAGAAACCACCGTCCTTAAAAGGCAGGAGACAAAAGGCAAGACAGAGTTAGGTTATGAGCAAAACAGAAGAATGGCAGTTCGTGAACTGCAACACAGACACCAAATTCTGCTTGCTATTGCCAGTTGCTATTGCTTGCTATTCCCAAAATTATATAAACTTAAAGATCATCAATTGAAATACTATTTGATTCAATTATATCTATCACACAGATTTGCTGTAGCTACCTGTCACACACTGGAAGTTTTGGGAACCATTGCCCAACTGAGAAAAGATGGGTTAAACAAACATAATGATGCAACTGCTTATCTGTAACAGACAACACTGAAAGAATAGTGCATGTTATGTGTTCTTTCTTAATACAACAATAGTAGAGGGTAAGGGCACATGATTAGTGGGCATTACAAACTATGCCAACATCAATACATTATTGGAGTTTGGGGCAGATGAAACCTTCACGTGTGAATGTTCATTGGTACATTAATGCTCTAGCCAAGATTCAGATATTTGTTTACATCTAATGTACAGCAACCAGCAGTTCCTTGGTAGCCAAATTACACTATTGGCAGAAAAAACTTTCAAAAAGTGCAAATGCCATCTGAATAGGACTTCTGAACCTGAGCAGTTCCCCACATCCAAGGTTGCAGCCACTATACCACACACATTCCTGGTGATGGTGAAATCAAGAATGCCACAGCTAATATTCTGAGTTCTTCTCTAAGTCCCTTGTAAGAATAGTGTGAACACAAAAGGAGGATTATCAGGATTGTGCCTCAGCACAGTCTCCACTTCAAGCCTTCCTTTTGCCCTCTTGGGTTTTGAGTAGTGTGCAAATCCTAGTCCTTTCACTGAATTCCTGATCACACAGAGGACGCTTATGCACGTATATCTTGAGCAATATTAAGGCATTTGGCTGAACAAATGAAGCCTAGGATAGGCAATCACAGAGACAACTGGAGATTTTCTCTTTTCCAGGCATACAGGAGATGAGACTGTACCCGTATGTCACATCACCATAAACTGAAAGAGCCCTTTACACTATCCAGTCTTCATTGACTGACATGCAGTCATCCAGAACCAAATGTTTTTGACGGGTTGGGTCATACACCGATGGTTGAGAACAAAGCAAGACCATGTCAGACTGAGTTGACAAGACTAAAGACTCAATGGTAAAAGGATTCAAGCAAGCAAATTGTTACCACATACTACAAGGGAACACACACCAGCAAGATCAATCAAAACGAAGGGCACAAAAGTTGTCTCCATGCCTATAAATGACACAATTTAAAACTGAGCGCAAGAACAAAATTCCCACCCCTAGGAACTTCCAACAAGCTCAACAATGATCTCATCTTCCTCAGACAGCTCAAGTTGTCCCTACTTCCAGTTGCCCAGAAGAGGAAAATATCTTTGGAAGACAAACAACTCTTCCTATTCTCTACAAAGCACCTAGGGGCGCTGAAACATCTGGTTTCCTCTTGGATTCTGTCATCTCCATCTCGGAGTCAGAAAGATCGCAGGACCTTTCTACGGCACAAGATGCACACAAGCTTCTTTGCACGAAGGAACTTGTCTCCTAGAAGATGTTATTCTCCACTACTCTTGTACCATGTTCCTAAGCCCTTGTGGTTTGTTTAAATATGACTTGCCACATTACATGAACTGGCAAGACGCTATGCTCACAAACCACAACTAGAAACAAAGGTTTGCAGTTAGAAAACCACCAGAGCTTTTGTTGTTGTGTGCCTTCAAGTCATTTCTGACTTAGGGCGACCTCAAGACAAATCATGGTGTTTCCATGGCCAGATTTGCTCCGAGCCTTTGCCTCCCTCTGAGGCTGAGAGAGTGTGCCTTGCCTGAGGTCACCTAAAATGGATAGTTGAGCGGGGATTCAAACTCAGCTCTTCAAAGTCAGAATGAAATGCTCAAACCACTGCACCACACTGGCTTGAGAACGTTATGAAAATCATTTCCTTGTACATCTGTGTTGCATACACATTGCCTTTGCTAGCGTGGCATAAACCAACAGCGATGCCATTCACCCTTCCCACTTTCATTGGTTCGGGTTAATCCTCCATTCCACTTCAATCTATCCACATACATTCAGGCATCGCTTTCTCTCAATTTATTCCATGCGGTCAGTTATATAAAAAATGAGGCCAACCTAATCCTCAAAGTTAGCCTCAAGCAATTCCAAGCTTTTGTTTTATTTTTCCATGCAGGTCCATTATCCGCTGCCTGCAATCTCAGATAAAAACCTTGGCAAGAATGGAACAACCTACATCAACCATGCTGCATAGATTTTCTATATCAACCCGGACTCAAGAATCTTATTATTATTATTATTATTATTATTATTATTATTAATACCCCACTTGTTCTCTCCACAAGGAGACTCAAAGCAGCAAAGAAGCAAATAATATGAGGCAGAGAAGCAAATTCACACACTGTAGGATGAGTGCCCAATGCTATGCAATCCCTGGAATTGCAGTTGGACAATGTCTTCAGCCTTCTCTGCCAAAGAGCCAAACTATAGTTTGCTTCATCAAACTATAACTGCATTCAGCCACGGCAGTTAAAGTGGTGTCGTTGTACAGAGTAGAGCCAACCATGGTCTGTTGTTATTAGGAAGAAAGTTGAAGTATACTTCACTTGTCTAGTTTCCATCAGACCTCACGATCTCGGAGGATGCCTCCCATAGATGTGGGAGAAATGTCAGGAGAGAATGCTTCTGGAACACAGCCATACAGAAAACTCACAGCAACCCAGTGATTCCAACCATGAAAGCCTTCGACAACACATTGAAGTACAGAAGCCAAAAAGGGACACTTTCCATACCTCAGCTTTCCAAGGAGAGCTTGGTATGGAGATAAAGAACTGGGAGGAAACTTTCTGCCACTTTCCAAACAGACCCAGAGGCACTCGCTTTTAGTACGCAATGTCGAAGCAGAAGAGCTGAATGATAAATGGTGCCCATTTATATGGGAATAAACACAAACAGGAGCGTCTCAGTTTGGATCTACACTGCTTTATATCTAAGGATCAGATCCCATATATGAAATTTGAAAACATATCTGCCCCTAGTTTGAAAGTGTTATGCCCTGTTTAATTGTGCGGTATTTACTTTGAAAGTAGTTGTTAGACTCCAGAAACTTCATTTTTGTGGCTGACACAAATTTAACTATATTAACTTATTAGTAGTATTTGTATTATTATTAATAATAATAATAAATAATAAGCATATATATCTCATTTGCTGTGACATACTGTATTTTTGTGTCAGAATACTACTACTACTACTACTAATAATAATAATAATAATAATAATAATAATAATAATAATAATAATATCTTTATTTATACCCTGCCACCATCTTCCAAAAGGACTCAGGGCAGCATATACAAGTCCCATAATCCATAAAAATAGAGGTAAAATGACATCAACATATCAAACAATGACAACATCAGGTTGCTGTGAGTTTTCCGGGATGTATGGCCATGTTCCAGAAGCATTCTGTCCTGACGTTTCGCCCACATCTATGGCAGGCATTCTCTGAGGTCGTGAGCTATAACAACCCCCCCCCCATTAGTTTCCAACAGATCTCACATCTATGGCATGCCTGCCATAGATGTGGGTGAAACGTCAGGAGAGAATGCTTCTGGAACATGGTCGTACAGCACGGAAAACTCACAGCAACCCAGTGATTCCGGCCATAGAAAGCCTTCAACAACACAACGACATAATAGTTGAGACTCGACTAGATATTTACGGAAAAACTAGAGCAAAATACACCGCAGGGTGTCCCGCCAAAACAAAGCTTTTGCAGTTGTATAAACTTTTCCCATGTTTTGCGATGATAGAACCAATTAGGGCATGACATTGGTGACTTAGGAACAAAAATTGTGTTGCATAGCGTGAATTGTATGAGTCTACACCAGGCATAGGCTGTTAGGAATGGTGGGAGTTGAAGTCCAAAACACCTGGAGGGCCTGAGTTTGCCCATGCCTGGTCTACACTGCCAAATAACTTGGGATGAGCACATCCTGGGGTCACATCCTTGGAGTTAGGCACAGCCTCACTGGTCCTTTGAAATCCCAGCTAACTTTATGAATGGGATGCCATGGAGGAGACTTTCCTATTCAAGGGAGAGGCTGCTTTTGGATTCTCCATAAGGGGCAATGACAATCTCCTGGGGGACACGTGTCTTCTTCCCATTCACACGTTCTATGGTTCTTACCTGACTCAGGAGGAGGAGGAGGAGGAGGCTGCTCGGGAAGAAAGAGGCGTCCTCGCCTGCTGGGCTCCGCTTCGCTGTGGCCCCATAAGCCTCCTTTCTGGAGAGACAAAACCTTCATTGATCAAAGGCTTCCTCTCTCTCTCTCTCTCTCTTCTGTGGTCAAGGGCTGCCCTCCCCTTGCGCTTCCCTTGCGCGCTCCGACAGAGGGCGCTGTTCCTTTAACCCTTTGGCGCAAGGCGATGCCGGGGGGCGTCAATCCCTCCCTGGGATACTTCTTTCTTTTTTCCTTTTCTTCTCTTCTTTTCTTTCTTTCTGCCTTTCTGGATGGAGGCACCTGTTTCCTCCCCGCCGGCCGCTTGCCTTCCCCTCTGCAAGAAGAAAGTTTGCTCTGCCCTGATTTGGCGCGGCTGGCGGGGCTTATATAGGCGGAGGCGCTGCTTCTTCTTGCCGGTTGGAGGGCGGCGCAGCCTCGGGGAGGGAGGGAGGGACCCCGAACAAGAGCCTTCGGAAGGGGGAGGGCCTCGCTTTGCCCCTCCAAACAAGGCACCCCTTCCTCACTCGGTCGGAGAGATCTCCCTTTCAAAGAGTCTCCGCCAAATGACATACTTTACATACCTAGATCTGTCTCTATCCTTCTATCTAGCTATCTATTCTTATATAGCTTGCAGTCATGCCGGCCACATGAACTTGGAGGTGTCTACAGACAACGCCGGCTCTTAGACTTAGAAATGGAGATGAGCACCAACCCCCCAGAGTCGGACACGACTGGACTTAATGTCAGGGGAAAACCTTTACCTTATATATAAGGATGGATAGATAGATAGATAGATAGATAGATAGATAGATAGATAGATAGATAGATAGATAGATAGATAGATAGATAGAAGAATAGACACAGATCTAGATCTAGGTATGTATGTATCTATCTATTCTTATGATAATACATACATAGATGGTAGGTAGGTAGGTAGGTAGGTAGGCAGGCAGATAGATAGATAGATAGATAGATAGATAGATAGATAGATAGATAGATAGATAGATAGATAGATGAATAGAGACACTTACTTATTTACTTACTTACTTACTGAGGCGATCCCTCATTGTCCGAGTAAGATAGTCTTCCAGGATCAGTGTTCTGGTGGGTCCGTAGGTGACTGTGGAGCCCTATTCTTGACTTGCATCTTCTCCCACAGTGAGGGCATTGGTTTCCAGGTGGAAGGAGGTCTCAGACAGGGTTGGCTTGACCTGCCTTCTTCTTGGCACTTTTCTCTCTTTCACCCTCCACTCGTGCCTCCTCGAATTCTGCAGCACTGCTGGTCACAGCTGAGCTCCAGCTGGAGCGCTCAAGGGCCAGGTCTTCCCAGTTCTCAGTGTCTATGCCAGAGTTTTAAAGGTTGGCTTTGAGCCCATCTTTAAATCTCTTTTCCTATCCTCCAACATTCCGTTTTCCGTTCTTGAGTTCGGAGTAGAGCAACTGCTTTGGGGAACGGTGGTCGGGCATCCGGACAATGTGGCCGGTCCAGTGGAGTTGATGGCGGAGGACCATCGCTCCAATGATAGTGTTTTTGCTTCTTCCAGCACGCTGACGTTTGTCCACCTGTCTTCCCAAGAGATTTGCAGGATTTTCCAGAGGCAGCACTGATGGAATCATTCCAGGAGTTGCATGTGACGTCTGTAGACAGTCCACGTTTCACAGGCATATAGCAGGGTTGGGAGGACAATAGCTTTATAGACAAGCACCTTGGTATCCCTACGGATGTCCCACTCAAAAAACCCCAACGAAACTTAACCAAAATTCCCATGCCCATAACACAACCCACAAGGTACAAACATATCTACTCAAAATGAAAAACAACACAACACACACTCACAAAACGGCAAAACAACAAAACCCAAAAAACCCCAACGAAACTTAACCAAAATTCCCATGCCCATAACACAACCCACAAGGTACAAACATATCTACTCAAAATGAAAAACAACACAACAACACACTCACAAAACGGCAAAACAACAAAACTCAAAAAAACCCAACGAAACTTAACCAAAATTCCCATGCCCATAACACAACCCACAAGGTACAAACATATCTACTCAAAATGAAAAACAACACAACAACACACTCACAAAATGGCAAAACAACAAAACTCAAAAAAACCCAACGAAACTTAACCAAAATTCCCATGCCCATAACACAACCCACAAGGTACAAACATATCTACTCAAAATGAAAAACAACACAACAACACACTCACAAAACGGCAAAACAACAAAACTAAAAAAAAAAACCAACGAAACTTAACCAAAATTCCCATGCCCATAACACAACCCACAAGGTACAAACATATCTACTCAAAATGAAAAACAACACAACAACACACTCACAAAACGGCAAAACAACAAAACTCAAAAAACCCCAACGAAACTTAACCAAAATTCCCATGCCCATAACACAACCCACAAGGTACAAACATATCTACTCAAAATGAAAAACAACACAACAACACAATCACAAAATGGCAAAACAACAAAACTCAAAAAAACCCAACGAAACTTAACCAAAATTCCCATGCCCATAACACAACCCACAAGGTACAAACATATCTACTCAAAATGAAAAACAACACAACAACACACTCACAAAACGGCAAAACAACAAAACTCAAAAAAACCCAACGAAACTTAACCAAAATTCCCATGCCCATAACACAACCCACAAGGTACAAACATATCTATTCAAAATGAAAAACAACACAACAACACACTCACAAAACGGCAAAACAACTGAGCATGCGCATTGGCGCCCAGCCGCAAGTTCCCTGGCGCGCGCACACAGCCTTCCAGCCAACGTTCCCTCTGCGGAAGCCATGCCCACTCCAAGCCCCACTTCCCGCACACACACACACCCTGCCGCACACACACACACAACCCCATGCTCCATCACTCCCCCTGCCGCCGCACACACACACGCAACCCCACGCTCCATCACTCCCCCCGCCGCCGCACACACACCCAACCCCACGCTCCATCACTCCCCCCGCCGCCGCACACACACACGCAACCCCACGCTCCATCACTCCCCCCGCCGCCGCGCACACACACGCAACCCCACTCCCCCGTCGCCGCACACACACACGCAACCCCATGCTCCATCACTCCTCCCGCCGCCGCACCAACCCCACCGTGCCGCTTCCCACACACACACGCAACCCCACTCCCCGCCGCCGCACACACACACGCAACACCATGCTCCATCACTCCCCCGCCCCTCACAACCCCACCCCACCCCCCGCCGCCGCACACACACACGCATCCCCACTCCCCCCCCCGCCGGCGCACACACACACGCAACCCCACGCTCCATCACTCCCCCCGCCGCCGCACACACACACGCAACCCCACTCCCCCCGCCGCCGCACACACACACGCACCCCCCGCCGCCGCACACACACACGCAACCCCACGCTCCATCACTCCCCCCGCCGCCGCACACACACATGCAACCCCACGCTCCATCACTCCCCCCGCCGCCGCACACACACACGCAACCCCACGCTCCATCACTCCCCCGCCGCCGCACACACACACGCAACCCCACGCTCCATCACTCCCCCCACCGCCGCACACACACACGCAACCCCACTCCCCCCGCCGCCGCACACACACACACACCCCCCCCCGCCGCACACACACACACAACCCCACGCTCCATCACTCCCCTGCCCCAATCTTACCTCCTTTTACTTCACGCCACCTCCAAACCCCACCCCGCCCCTTCCCGCCCTGTCAAAATCCAGGAAAGACAGGAAGGAAGGAAAGAAGGAAGAAAGAGAAAGGGAGGTAAAGAAAAAGGGGGAAGGAAGGAAAGTTAGAGAAAGAAGGAAGAAGAAAAGGAAAGAAAAGGAAAGATGGAAGGAAAGAAAAGAGAGACAGCAGAAGAGAAAGAAAAAGGGGGAAGGAAGGAAAGAGGTAGAGAAGGAAGAAATGAGAGACAGAGGGAGGGAAAGAAAAAGGGGGAAGGAAGGAAGGAGAGAAGGAAAAAAAGGGAATGAAGGAAGGAAAGAGGGAGTGAAGGAAGGGGGAAGATGTAGAGAAAGAAGGAGGGAAGGAAAGAAGGAAAGAGAGAAGGAAGAAAAGAGAGCAGAAGAGAAAGAAAAAGGGGGAGGAAGGAAAGAGATAGAGAAAGAAGAGGAGAGGAAAGATGGGGAGGAGGGAAGGAAGGAAGGAAGGAGGGAAAGAAGGAGAAAAAGAGGGAAGGTTGGCCACAGCAACACGTGGCGGGTAAAGGCTGTTATTTCTATTATTATTATTATTATTGTTGTTGTTGTTGTTGTTGTTATTATTATTATGCTATTATTCCTATTAGACCCTGGGGGAATGGGAGAGGTGTCAGGTCCCAGAGGCAATGCATTGCATTATTGTTATTGTTATGATGGTGGTGAAATAAAAGGAAATAAAAAGTGAAAGAAGGAAGCAAACAGGGAGGGAAGAAAGGCAAAGGAAGAAAGGGGGGGGGGGAATGAAGGAAAGAGAGAAGGATGAAACCAAGTAGTGAAAGAAGGAAAGAAAGAAAGAGGTAGAGAAGGAAGAAAGGAGAGAAAGGGGGAGGAAAAGGGGGAAGGAATAGGTAGGTACCTCTCTTTCATAATAGTCCAGATATCTACCTCAACTTTGATAAGTTTTACTATAGGCCACAGCAACGCGTGGCAGGGCACAACTAGTAGCTTTATAAACAAGCACCTTGGTATCCCTACGGATGTCCCGGTCCTCAAACACTCTCTGCTTCATTCTGGAAAATGCTGCACTTGCAGAGCTCAGGCGGTGTTGTATTTCGGTGTCGATGTTGACTTTGGTAGAGAGGTGGCTGCCAAGGTATCTGAAATGGTCAACATTTTCTAATGTTACACCATTAAGTTGTATCTCTGGCATTGGAGGAAGTGGGCACCCCAGCCACATACACGCATACATATTTTCACTTTTATTACGTACTCGCTTGGGTACCCGGTGTTGCCTGGGTTATTTGAAAAAGTCAATTTTTTTAATTGTTGGCTGGTGACTGCTGGAACAGTACTTTGGTTTTCTCAATGTTCAATGACAGGTTGAGCTTCTCGTATGCTTCTGCGAAGGTGTTTAGAGTGGTTTGTAGATCTTCTGAATGCGCACAGACAATCTAGGTATGTATGTATGTATGCGATTTGGCAGAGAACTGCAACACTTACATCCAGTGTCTCTGGATGTAAGTGAACTACAACTCCCAGAAACGAAGGTCAGTTCCCCCTAATCCCTTCCAGTATTTTCAGTTGGTTGTGGGGATTCTGTGTGCCAAGTGAAGTCCAGGGCCATTGTTGGTGGGGTCCAGAGTGCTCTTTGATTGCAAGTGAACTTCCAGTACTTACAATGGCTATAAATCATGGGGAATCCTCCCCAAAG